GAGCCAGTCTCAGTCTGGCATTAGTAAATGTATTCCTGTAAGCAGCTGGGATGCAGAAAGGATTTCTGTTTAGCTTCAAAATTCTGTTTAAATTAATACCACGTTTATTTTCCACCCCTTTTCTTTTTCTTTTTTTTTTTAATAGCTGCAATTTTCAAAGATAAACTGAGTCAGTTTCTTTTTCCACTTCCAAGAAAGCCTTGAAGGTTCTCCTGCAGAATGCTGAGGATCTCACAGATCTGAGAAAGCACCTCTGCCTCTCCCCTTCTGGCTCACAGGTCAGTTTGTAATCCTTTGCTGATACTAAATACACAAATGCCTTTTAGCAATGATTTCCATTTAAAATATTCAGATAAAATATTCGTTTAAAATTGTAATATTAGAGGAAAAATGATTTGAATAGCCACTGGTGTGTTCTCTGACTAACACTGAGTGCAAACAAAACACTGGCAAATTACTTGAAGTAATCAAATTCGATTTAAACAGGACCCAAATATTTGGATTGGGCAACAGACACCTAACAGCCAAGATTAACTAAGTAAAACAGAATGTAAGGTAACCTAGGTATTTAAGTAAAAGCAGCTACCTACATTTCACACGATCATATGTAAGTGTTTTTCCCCTTGACACTGTATTTCTCCCTTTTCATTATGAGTAGATTAAATTAAAAACTGCTCCTAACAGGGGCACTGAATTATTTCAGATTATAATGCTATGCATTTCTAAAGTGTCTTCACTCCCATGCCTCAGCTAATCCCCCCTAAATGCATTTTCAGATGAGAATGCCAAGACTCAGCCCCTCCGCAAGGAAACAGAGGCAGAGATGAGGAGACTCAAAAATCAGAGGAGGTCCAGTGAAGATCCTGCTGCAAAGATTTGGTCAGCAGCAGAAAAACCCATTCCCAGTTTTCCTCACTATGGAAATGACCCCTCTGCAGACAATGGGGAACGACTGAAGAAAAAGTTCTTCCTAAGCAGAGAAATTCATAGTGGATTTCAGATGGGCACCAAAGGACAGCAGCAAAGGTCACAAAATGCACTGGTTTGGCTTCTAAAGGCTGTGACATTTCCTGTCCCATTTTATACCACTAAATCACCTCCTCATTCCATTTTTTGGTGGGATTTTCAAAGCTTAAATATCAGGTATTAAATATGAAAACTGCATTTTTCATCTTTCTAGCCAGAAACTCACCATGACTAACTTCAGCAGAATACAATAAATGAGATACTGGAGGTTGTCCTGCAATTTGCTTTTGCATCACTGAAACTTTGGGGATATAAATTTTGCTCAATAATCACATTGAATCTTATCTCTTATTGTTTACAGCTTTCTTTTAAGACATATAATGAATGATTCTTTGCCATTAGTAAAAGTTTTATAGGATGGGAGAGGAAAATAACTCCTTGGTGATAAAATTTTTCAACAGCAGACAAAAAAAAAAAAACTCCTTTCAAAAAGACAATTTCCTCAACTTATTATTCAAGTTTTTACAGTGGCTTAGAAAACATAGAAACCAATTAGTTTTAATCTCCATTTAATTTTATGGAATGCCTCCAGAAGAGCTCTTAACACAAAGCTAAGACTCCAGTAAGGACAGTGCAAAGATGATGAGAACTCTGCTAATATTATCCTCACAGAGATAGCAGAACTGCAGTTCTTATGTGTTTCTGATAAAAAGTATTGTGGGCATAATGTTCAAAACTCTCCAGAAATTGCCCTTTGAATTTACATTGGCAGTGGCTGCAAGAGAGCAAATTTCCTCACTGAGGTGCAGACAGCAGAATTCAATCCAAAAAGGGGCAGAAGTACAAGGAAAAGTCACTTGCAAGGCTGGAAAGCAAAAGTAAAACATAAAACCTCGTTTTGAATAATCACTAGGACTAAAATACTGTGTTAAGTGTTAATACTTTTAAATCACAGGCACTAGAATTTAGAAATATCTCTCCCCTCCTTTTAAATACCTGTTTGAATGAAAATTACCTGTCTGAAGACTGGCTGGAGCTATACAGATTATTTATGTTATTATTTTTAATACTTATATTTTGTAAGTATATTATATATAAGTTATACTTATTATTTATCATTATCAAAGCCCACTCGAAATCTCAGGTGTTTTTTGCTACCTTTGACCTGTAAGTGACCTGAGAAAGGAAATCCTCTGTGAATTAGTAACAGCTCTGCACCTCCCCTGCCACTGCTGCCCAAAACCTCCAAAATGAGGTGAAAGCAGCTTTACACCTGCTTAAAGGTGGCTCAGAAACTCTTAGGAAATGACATTTTTAAAACTGTTTACGTAATACATTTAATAAGTGGAGACTGGTAAAAATTGATGGAGGTAATCTTTAAAATTTAATACAGATACCTTACACAGGTGGCTTCAATGCTGGGGACCAAATGCTAATTTACAAAAAAAAAACAAAACAGAAGAGCATTTCAAATGAGACAAAATATTAACACATATTCATGCATATTACCACATTGTAATAACTTCAATTTAATACTGAATTTAAAGACAGGTAATTTGCAGGCTCTTTTGCTATCACTTCTTTCAAGTGGTGCCTCATTTTCTCCATCACTTCACACAGGCTACAAGCTTTTTGCCTGTTTTATAAATAGCCCCCTCATCCTTTCTGTGTATTTTCAGATACCAGGGTGTCAAGCACTGGGTTTCACCAGCAGGAATTAGCCTGATATTGCTAATCTGTGGCATAAAAATCAAACTGAGTGACAACTCCAAGAGGAAGCTGGTTGTTAGGAAAGAAGTGTGCCAGCAATCATCATTTCTCAGAACAGAGCATAACAAATACACTGCTGTTGGATGGGAATTCCTTACAACATCCACGTATCAAGAAAAACAAGGATGGGAAGGTGCAGCTTTCAGTTCAAGAGCCAGGGAGGCTCCAAAGATGAGGAATTTATGAGGTGATATCCAGCCCACATTAGTCAAATTTCATCAGTGTCACTGCTGCCTTCCCTTTATAACCCTGGTGCTGATCCTCCTTTCCCCTGGTACCGACCTGGGTGATGAGTTATCCCCCAAACTGGTCCCATATAAATCCATTTAAACCCAACAGTTTTCCTCTGGCACACCTCTCCGAGACATAATCAAAGAAACATCTCTGTGATCACCACGCTGACGTCCAAAATCTGACTGAAATCCTTGTCCTGAGCTGCTCAGAGTGTCCAGGCTGACAGGGAACAGAGAAAACACAAAACGCAGAGTGAAGATGCTGGCAAATCTATCGGTTCTGCCAGCTGCATTTTAGCAGGGGAAGGCTATCAAGGAAAGAAAAAACGTGAGGTAAATACTGGCAAACTGTGGGGAAAAAAGGGAAAGTGCAAGAGCTTAACGCAGAAAAAAGGTGAAGACAAGGAAGTGTGGAAGGATGGTAAAGTGCCAAGGCATGGACACACTCCAGGTTAGAAACAGACATGTCTGAGGCAGATCTAGCAGTAGTTTTATTATAATTAATAAAATATATAATTTATATGTTATATATTTTAATATATAATATATTGTTATAAGTGCTATATTAATTATATTAATATAATTATATTAATTAATATATAATATAAATATATATAATATATAATATATAATTAATAATTGTTGTGGGAATGAAAAAGGCCTTCTAAATTCCTGTCTGGAATGAGTGTTACACAAAACCCAAAGGTTTTTTTCAGGGTGAAAGCAGGTACCAAGACACCAGAATTTTTAACACGCAAGGATCCCCGTTTTGAGGGTTTACCCAGAAGATCTTGGCCAAGATGTGCAAGGCTTCAGGAATAAACAACTTCTTCCCTTCTCCTCTTCCCTCAAAACCATGAAAAAAAAGCACAACAATTTCAACTGCCATCAGGAAAGAGAGAATTTTATATCAAACAATTGCCCTGGGCCACTCAGCTAAATTAAGTCAAAGGGACTGCTGGCAGGCTTAAAATAGGCATGTGTTTAAGAGCTTTCCTGGCTTTGTTGCTGCAGTGGGGGAAAAAAAAAATATGAAGCTGCAGATGCATAAATTTGAAATTGAAAATATCATCAATATCTCCAAGACAAGTATAATTAGGATTAGTAAATTAATTCTGGTCTACATTGCCTTGCGCGAAGCTTAAATGAGAGCAAAGTGAGAGAGATGCCAGATACTCTCTTTCCCCTCCCCGTTGCTTTGTATTGCTCTGAAAACAGGTTCAGTAACCACCAGAAAGAGAGATGTGGGATTCTTGGCTGTGTGGAGGGGTGCACCACAGCAAGGACACTGAAAATTATCTTCAGCACATCACCAAGGGGGCTGGCACAGCCAGGATGGCACAGGAGCAGTGCAGGAACCCCTTGACAGGTGTCTGCATTATCACTTTGGTGGTTTCCAGCAATCTGGTTTCGTGACGAGCCTTCCTGCACCGTGTCACAAGTAATTTCCCTCCCTTTCAGACTGTGGTTTTCAAGCAGCAGCAGCAGAATTTCCTCCTGCCAGGTTCCATAAGGAAAGCAGGACACCCTCCTGGCAGCGGAAATCTGCCGTGACCACTTCTGTGATGCTCACAGGTACTTTTCATTGCTCTATAACCTGTTTTATTTTAAGGGAAGGGTGCCCACAGGGGCTCTTCTGGGCCTGATCCAACTAGCTGGAGTTATCTTTAGGGTAATATTGTTATCTGGGCAATGGTGGTCTGAGGATGAATCCGTTCAGAACATCATTCAGAAACCAGGCCCCCCTAAAATTTGTATCAAGATGCAAAGAACATGCTAGCTAGATGTGTTTTCAAATATGGGTGAAGTTTCTGCTACTACAGAAACTACACACATCTCTCAGCATCTGCTGCAGAGAAAGATAATAAATACAAATTCAAGGAGAAAGTGGCTCTGCCAACACAAGCGCCACAACAGCCACGGCTACCCTGACGTGTTTTAACAGGCATTATTTGCAAAACCACGTATTTTGACAGATCAAAACGGCTCTCAGCCCAATTACAGCCATTTTAAATGGAAGATATCACTCACCCTTTCCGAGCTCAAGCCTACGGGCCCCCAGGCAGTGGCTCAGACATGCTCGGAGCCCTGCCACGGATGGAGCCTCTCCATAGGGGCAAGTGGAGACCTCACAGAAGCCGCGGGCACGACGCAGGGTTTATCCGTGAGATCCTGTGCAGCCTGTGACAAGCAAGAGATCAGAAAATGTATCAGAAGAAGTCCCTTTTGAGTGGGAAATCCGTCATCCAGCTGCCCTGTGTGCTCCCAGGTGAGTCTGGTGCCTCACACTCGAGCACCCCACACCCGGAAGTTTGAGGGCAGACGCTGCGCGCCCCGAGATGCCACCACAAATAAATAATTACTGCAGAAGGACAGGCTGCATTTTGCCTCATCAGCCGCACAAACAGCAGCAGGCTCAGCCATTAGCAATTAATTAAAGATCAATGGCATGCGAAACCCCAGGGAGCACACGTGCAATTAGCAAATGTACTTAAAGCAAGCCACAAGCCCGCAAGTTTTTTTTTGTCTGACACCAACTCACCAAGGCAATTCTTGTCCTTTTTTTGTTAAAAACCTCATCCCACTACCCTTAACAAGCCAAGGGGGCTGAGGGAGGGTTACCCACAGAGTTCCACTTGGCAAAGCACATTTCCAGCACCCTGCACTGGGTCCGAAGCCCACGGACATGAGTCATTCCTCAGCGAGTTTTCCTTGTTTATTCCAAGGGACCTTGGGTGGCCCGTAAGCATCCTTGCCAAAACGAGTGATCTCTAATAGGCAAATTAATTAACTTACATGCTCTGCTTTCACTGGTTTGATGGCTCGGGGATGCCCTGCACAGTCCAAAGTTGAGACACTGCTCGGTAAACACCCTGCGTGCACCACCAGCAGACCCAGAGCGGGCAACACAGGGTTAAATTTTAAGTTCAAACAATTGCTTTGAAATTTAAACTTCGCTTTGAATTGCGTTGAAAGTTAAACTCCTCTGGCATGGGCAGGTACATTACTGGGGAGTTTCATAACCCCTTATATCTGCAAAGAGCCCTATGAGACCCGGCAATTAAATGGGAAAAGGAATTAAAAAAAAATAAAAATAAAAAGGAAGAAGGATTTATAATTCCTAGTCTGAATCCCAGAAATGGCTACAGTTTGTCACAGCCTCTGGAACAGACAGAAACTGCATTTCTTTCCTCCCCGGAGTTCCCGAAGGTAATTCTGCCTGAAAGAGCCTCCAGCCAGATCGCTCCACGCTGGGCATTATCACTCTCCACATGGATTTCCCTCCTTTTCCTTAATGGAAGAGTTAAACCCCAAACCCCAGCTGAACCGCTGGGGAACGCTGATGACGATGACAATAATATTAGGAAGAGGAAGAACAACAACAACAACAAGAAGGGAAAAAAAGCAGCGATTTACCGCCGCACAGAAAACGCGAGGACCGCGGATTTTCCTTCCCGCGTCGCACTCACCTCCTCCTCCTCCCGGACCCTCAGCTCTCCTTCCAAAAACAGGGATGGAGACCCGCGCGGGAGAGAGCCAGGAGCAGCAGCCTCCGGCTCGGCTGTCGCCACAGGACCTCTCTCCATCAACCCCTCCTTCTTCTCCTCCTCCTCCTCCTCCTCCTCCTCCTCCTCCTCCTCCCCTGGCGGTACCCGCGGAGCAGCAGCGACACAAAGGAGCGCCCGGGTAGCGACAGCTCCGTGCCAGCCTGGAACAGCGCGAGGAATCAAGGAATTTCATCGTTGTCCTGTCTTTTTTTTTTTTTTTTTTTTTTTTTTTTTTTGTTAAAAACCTCACAAGAGCCCCGTGTCCACAAGGAGCTTTCCCGGAGCTGCCTCGGTGCTGAAAGCTCCGAGAGTTTGCTGAGACTCAGTTGGAGCAGCATCCAAAAAACGGTGCGGCCCCAAGTTCCAAAGACAAACCCCCCAGGCTAATGTTTTTCCTTGCCCAGCCGCAGTTCTCCATCCCACTGCCTCTGTCACGCTTGCTTTGTTTGGAAATGAAAGGACTGGGATGGTATTTCATGAAATTGCTGCGTTCCCCGAAGGCAGCTGTTAAAGCAGCACTAAAATTTTACCAGAAGGCAAATCACAGGGGCAGGGAGGAGCTGCCCTTGCTTGGCTTTCCCAAAAAAATGCCCACCAATATTTGCACCTGCATGTTCATCCAGCAACACAGGAGCACCTCTAGGTGGAGATGGAAACAGCACACAGGTGACACTTGTGTGTGTGTTAAAATAAAAAGGGAGAGACTGGCACGCCCAAGTCACTCAGCCCATCTTAGCAGGAAAGGTAAATTTAGAAAAAATTTAGGTGTTCAGTGCAGTGGGGACGTCAGTGAGGTTGCTTGGATCCAACCCTTGCAAACGGATCTGCAGCTCCTGGCACCTCGGAGATCCTGGAGCAATGGATGTCTCACCTGCTGGGGGAGAAGCTTGAACTGGTGCCTGGTGTACAAATCAGACCCGTGTGTGGTCTGGTGGTTTGGTTCACCGTGCTTTTCTACGCTGGATGGAGAGGAAGGTGCCACCTTTCTGGGAGCTGATCTCCAGGGAATGTTCAGGGAATGTCATACTGAAGAAAGAAGCCCAACCCAATTCAAAACAAAACAAAAACCAAAACCAAAACAACAAAACCAAGCATTAAAAACCCAACAAAAAATACCCCAAAACAAAACCAAAAAACTCAAACAAACAAACCCGCCAAACAAACAAACAAAAAACCCACAAAAACCCAAAACCAACGGAACAAAAGAATGCAGCACCAAAACCCTCAAGACAAAAACCCAGCTGTATCACCTTGTATCGGTCCCTGGGTTAAATATTCCTGGGAAGGACTCAGGAAGGGGAGAAAAGAAGGGAAAAAGAGACGGACTGAAGATTACATGGTCTAAGTCTCATTTCTTTATGTGGCAGGCTAAAACCCTGAATTTTGCACACCCTGACCTCGTGTCTAGGGGCGCTCCAGCAATCCACATCACAAAATCCACATCTTTTGCCTTCCCCCCAGGAGAAGGGAGTGGATGCAGGGAGTGTCTCATTTCAGTGAGATTTGTGTATGACTGGCAGGGGTTTAGTTTTTATCCTTGTAATCAACCATATGTGCCCCAGAAGGCAACACTGAGGGAAAATTAGGAAGGTCTGGAGTGCCCTCAGTCCCTGAAGCTCATTCCATGGACAAGGAAAGAGGATTTTTCTCCTGCAGGAGCTCATTTTACCCTTGGGATGTTCATATGTCATTTATCTCTGGAAGATCCAGACCAAGAACCAGAATTTGATCTCAAATGCTACAAGTGGTGAGGATAGAGGACAGAGAAAAAAAAATATATATTTATTTATTTATAACAAATAAATAATTTGTTGTTCTTACCGTGATTTTTTTTTTTTTTTTTTTGCCAAAGCAGCTCAAGCTATCATTCAGATGGAGCTCCCTAACTGGAAACTGTTCTGTTCTCACAGTTCCAGTCATGACTTTCAAAAAAACTCAGGTTTGGGTCTACAAGGCAAAGCAGTTTCACAGGAATGGGATGGAGCCTTCTTGCCAGCAGGGCACGATGGAAAAGAAGAGGGATGTTATTGGTAGACTGTAAAGCAAGACTGCCTGGAAAGTGATATTGCCACTGAAATTAAAAAACAAAAAGAAAAAAAGAAGAAGGAAAAAAAAAAAAGAAAAAAGAAAAAAAGAAACAAGAAACAAGAAAAAAGAAGAAAAAAAAAGAAAAAAGAAAAAAAGAAACAAGAAACAAGAAAAAAGAAAAAAGAAAAAGAAAAAGAAAAAAGAAAAAAGTAAAAAAGATGTTGTAAACACTTGCACACTGGGCTTTGCTTACTTCCACGTGTAGTTAACCCAGATGGCCATGTGACTACAGCTGAATATGAGATTATGTACCACAGGGCACTTTGGACAGGAAGACACTGTACCTGCAGTGCTGTGCCTAAAAGAAAATGAGACATTTTCTTCCATGTCTTGTGTACAATTTAAAGACACAAAGAAACGGTCAGAGAAGCAGAACATAGAAGAAAGTAAGCCCAGTGGGTGTTTGGCTTTTTATAGTTACTGGAAGAAGATGGGACATTGTCTGTGTGCTGTGTGCTCCTGACATTGTCCAGAAATAGAAAATAAATCCATCTTGTATTCATTCTCCTTTTACTACAGAGATAGTACATTACAAGGTTTTGCATTCCTGCCAATACTCACTGCCAAAAGAGTAAATTGCCAGTTTTCACAAAGTTGCACATTGCTCCATAAATATATATTCAGCAGGGGCAAATACCTTCTCCTTTTAATACCTGTGTTATACTTCAACACATTTGATTAGAGAGATGCATGTGCTGGGACACAGCTCCATTTTTTTACATTCAAGAAGAAGGGGGAAAAAAACCCCCTCAAATTTATATAGGATGCATCCTTTCTTGCTTTTGGAAAATGAAGGTGAGGCTGTCCCACCAACACTCCATATTGACACATTCCCACCTCCTGTCCCTGTGTCCAAGCTGATGAAAAGAGGGTTCCCACTCTCTTAAAAGTGCAGAGCAGTAAAGCCACTGGAAGGTTTTTGGCAGCACAGCCCTAATGGAAAAGCTCAATCTCACTCATAAAAGCTATGCAATGGACAAAAGGTATTATGGAAATCCTCGTATCATTCACTTTACAAAATAAATGGGGGAAAAAGTATCTGGCAGTGCCTACAGAGGAAACTCTCCACAGTCTGACAGAAAAAGGAACAAGGGATTCATCAACTCTAAAATGATTAAGAAGTTTGGTTTTAACTTCCTCTTTTCTTTTTTTCCTTCCCGAAACAGATCTTACTAGAATAAAACAAAGGCAAAAAGATCTCTGAGAGCTCTGCCAGTCTCTGTCAGTTACGTATTTTGGGAAGTGGGGTGAGTCCACATGAATTCTGTTGTCCCTATCTTCGAGATAAGTCTGTTGCATTTTAGAAGAGCATTTGAGCTATGGTTGACAAGTGCTCTATGCAGTTCTCTTATCACAAAAACCTCAGTAAGGAAAAAACCTAGGCCCTCTGAAACCATCTCAAACCATAGAAGAAAGGCAAGTGGCACTTGCTGATACAGAGATAATTCAAATCTTTTATTTAACAAATGAAAATATCTTTTATTTCCCATGGAACAGTCAGAATTTTGACTGTAGCATCATGAACTGCAGGAAGTATAGAAGTGTTTTGTCTCTAGAGCCCTGTTCTTCTGCTAATGGTGATGAAAAACTCTGTGGATCCATGATCTGGCTGAACTTATCTCAAGTTCTGTGCTATAAAAATGGCATAGGTCTCCCTCCTGGGAAACCTTGGATAGTTTCAGACCCCAGCCTGAGTGGACTGAAGCTGCTAAACTGGAGGAAAGTTTTAATTTCTTACTCCCACCTCCCCAGAAATTTTTCACCTTGGGGAATACATCAAAACTAGACTGCAAATTATCTGTCAAATGCTAAAGACACTGCAGGATGAGGCCACGAAGCCCATTTTCACCACAGCAGATCAGCTGACTTCTTATTAAACCATACTCCAAAACTTTCTTGTATCTTTCTGAATTTTCTTTTCTTTCTTTCTTTCTTGAAGTCTTTCTTGAATCCTGCTGTATTTCAATTTGCTGTTCCAGCCAGGCATTGCATCTGGATCCTTCCCTCTGTGAAGACACATCTGTCAAGTGAACCTGCTTAAATTCCTAGTGAGAAGAAAAGACTGAATATCACCACGATAAGAACGAAAATGCAGCAGGTGGGGATTAGTTTCTGTGTTAAAGAATCTATTAAGTACATCAAAAATACCAGCAACTTTCTGCAGTCTGTTACAGATTATTTAACCTAAAATGGTTGTCTTTTCCTGAATCTGTCATTCTCTACGTCCTGAAAACATGTTTAACTTGGGCATTCTGTCTCCTTCACAGGCCCGCATTGCCTATGTAACTAATGTAACTGCAGCAATCCTTGAAAAAATGGCTTTCTTGCCACATGATAAATGGATTTGCAGCTGCGTGGCAGACAGAACTGAAACGTGAAAAATAAACAATTCAGTGTGAGGTGTTAGCAATAACTGTATCAAATTGTGATGATCATTTCACAGATACAATTCCAGCGAGAGTGTGTGGTCCTTAATCAAGTGCCCTTTTAACTTAAATGCCCTATTTTCTATTTTGAATTATCATTTAGGGTAGGCTCCTGGACTTCTTCAAGGAATTCTCTGACATATCTACAGTCTAATCTCCATCTACGTGTGCTAATCATCTTTTAAACACTGATCCTGGCTGGATGCCACACACCCACCAGAAGTCCCCCCCATCACCAGCTGGGCAGAGGAGGGAAAATACAATAAAAAGGTTCCTGGGTTGAGATGAGAGCACAGAGAGAAGAGACTTAGGGAAATTAGTTTATTACCAATCAAACCACAGCAGGATAAAGACAAAGGAAACTTAAATCTTTAAAACTCCTTTATCCCACCCTTCCCTTCTACCAAGGCTTAACTTCACTCCCAGTTTTCTCTTCCTCCTTCTCCTCAGTGGTTCAAGGAGATGGAGAACAGGGTTTGTGGTCTTTTTATTAAGCATTCTCTCCTTCTTCCTCCTCACCACTGATGGTCTCAGATGTGGCCAGAGGATCCATCCTGGAGCTGGCTGGCTCAGCTGGACACAGGGGAAGCTTCCAGCAGCTTCTCAGAAAAAACACCCCTGTGCCACCCCCCACCACCCAAACCTGGCCATGCCAACCCCACACAGACAGAGTTTGTGCTGTGGAGCAGCTTTTATTCTCTCAGAGAGAAACAGCAGCCCAGGAGAGCAGCAAATGAACAGCACAGAAAAGGTGGCTCCTGGTGCAGCTGGGCTGGGTGATTAGTACAAAACAGAACACAAGCCACTCAAGCTTTTTACACTCGTATGTCCTAAGAAATTTAAGGCCAGATGAATGAATATGGGTTGTTTTTGTTTTTCAGTTTGTTTGGTTTTTTTTTTCCACAAAGTTCTTTTCACCTTTGAGGCCTGCCTCAGAGCAGCTGTATTTTCTTCACCGGTTTCCCTCATTTTGCAGCTCCAGCTTCCGAAGCCGGTCCTCAAACTTCGGAATGTCGACTCGGTGCTTCATCAGGAACTTCCCATTTAAGTGAAAAACAGGTATGTCATACTTGTATTTATCGTACCAGGCCGAGTTCTCTGGAAGGGTGATGTCCACCTCCTGCAGAATGAACTGTGGCAGAGAAGAGATATGTCAGTTCCCAGTGGACACTGTAAAACAAAACCTGCTTGTCTTCTGATCAGTGCTTTCCTCAGAAGGGCAGGGCTGTTTTCCTGAAGCTTGCGGGTTTATTCTTTGTGTTGCGGCCTTTTCTTTGTGTTGCGGCCTTTTCTTTGTGTTGCGGCCTGGTTTTTTTTGGGTACAAAATATATGTAGCCACAACCCTTGGCTGCCTCCCCACAAGGGACTGCCTCCCTAGCCCAGAGTATTCCTGTTCCACTCTCCTGTGGGCAGCAACCCCAACAAACACACAGCCGGGAACAAAACAGGCAGCAGAGTGCAACAGCCCTCAGTGCTTCCATTGAAAGTTTCATCCTTCAACAGAGACATCAAAAACTGGTTGGAAAACGGCGAAAATTGCAGCCACATAGTTCAAATATTCACAACCCCACTTAGTTACATCTTTCCCAAATTACATCCTGGCTCATGAAAGTTCCAAACTCTTCCTTCAGACAAGGCAACAGCATTTGCAAAAGGAGTATTTTCAAGAACTCCTGTAATATGGTTTATATTGGCTTAGTTTGCCAATACTTATTTGAGTAGCATTATCACAAAATGCTTTTGGATAATGAGTTTTATGTAAATCAGTGCTGAAATTGTCTTGAAGAGGTCATCCATGAAAGAATAACAGATGCAAATAAATCCAAGCAATTTTCTTTTTACAAAGAATGAATCCTGATTAACTGTTCTTTCCATATAGAAAACATATACAGAATTTCCATACATTACCCTTCTCTTATATGGCTCAAGAACTTCTTTTGCTTCATCACACAGAGGGCATGGTTTCTAAATGAAAACATTCAGAGTACCTTAAAGCGTGCAGTAAAACACAGAAGTTGTTTGTACTGTGAAATAACACACACACAGACATTACATTCATTACTGTAAATTCAGGTTCCCTTCCCTGCACCAAGCTCCCTGCCTCAGGGGCTTTCTAAAACTTTACTTATCAGTGCAGTATGGATGAAAAAAAAAAACCCCAACAAACTATCCAGCTACCGAGTATAACCATTTTACATTTCCTATTGCATTTCTCATGGGGCAAATTTTACAGTTTTCTAAATCAGATCCAAGGGAATGATCTGAAAGTATTTTCAGCAGCAAATGAGGACAGCTGCAGGTACCACTGCTGCTAAAACAGGAATGAGAAAGCCACACAAGTAACTTCCAGCCTGTCTCAGATCGAGAAACATGGCTCAGCTCAAATGGGAAAAGCAGGCAATTTAAGACTGGGTGGCTTTGACTGCAAGAAATTAAGCAGGATCCTCCAAACAGCAGAGCTGGAAGGAAAGTAACCTCCAGAAAGGAGAACTGGCAAACACCTTCAGTGTCTTAACCCCTGATCAGGTCAAAAAAAACCCCTCACATTTCTGAAAACTCCCCCATCTGAGTTCTGCTGACACCAAGGCTGTAACTGAAGAATTAATTCATATGAAAGCATGCTGCTCCAATGTTTGCAACAGCAGAATTTGGCCCACAAAATTCACATGGCAAAGTACATGGAGGTGAACATGACTGCTCTGTCCCTCTGCCCCAAAACACCTCCCGCAGCTGGAAAAGATCTTCTTCTCATTCTCCCTCTGAAAAGTCTTCCTTGAGCTTGTTTAAATGTGAAGTTAACTTGCAAAACAGCTACTTTTTATTTCCTGTAACGTGAATTTTCCAGTAATGTGAATTACTTCGGATTAAACACTCTGCTTTTATTTAGATCCAACCTAAATTGCCTTTCCCACATCGACAAGTCCTTGTGCTCCAAAAACCCATGCAGGACACTGAAGTGTCCTGTGTTCCTCATAGTCCTGGTTGCTTTTGGTTTGACAGACACTGGTGACTGAAAGGAATTGACCCAGAACCCTGCACACCAGTTTTGTAACACACAAAAAAACCCCCAAAAACCACAAAAAAACCCCAAGTGTGTCCAGTTAAACCAGGACACACTTGGTTCCTCTAGGCCTGTGGAGAGCTTCCCAACATACCAGGCACATAAATGCTTTTGGTAAAGATGGCTAAACTTTTTTTTTTTTTTTAGGAAAAAATATAGTTTCATTCTCATGGCAAGCTTAAGCACTCGGTGGTATTGGCTTAAAATCAGAAGTGAATTATTTTAACAAACAGCGAAATCTTTTGTAGAAGTAGATTTATATAAGCAAATGTTGCTGGGGTGGTCAGAAAAGGGGACTAAAAAGGGAAACCCATTTGATAGTTTCTATCAGTTTGATCCAGAAGTCATAACTCCCTTCTGCTTTCTCCTCCTCTTTTCTCCTTATTAAAAATAAGAAGGAGGCAAACAAGGGATCATTTAGCATAAGATAACAGTGTAGATTAGATTTTTTTAATAGACTGCACTTTTCTTTGCAATTGCCAGTGAACATTTGAAGTTAACAGCAAACATTTAGAGTTAAAAAACACCTTCAACAAAAGGCCATTTCAGGGAAGTGCTGGAAATCTGCTACTAGAAAATTTGATTTCACACAGTGCCTTCCTTACTAGTTAGGAGTTTTAAGACACATTTTAATTTTAAAAAGAGAAATTTTTTCCAATTTTTAACCCAAAGGTAAGAGCATTATTCCCTACCTTACCCCATTTGAATTATGAATTAGTTGAGGCTGAACTGGGCACGGGGAGAGAAAGATGCAACTTTAAAGTATAGTTCTGATTATTAAATGGATGCTGACCTATTATTTTTAACCTATTCATTTGTCACACAGTTTCCACACTCCTGTATGGTTACAGATGGAATGAAAAAACACTGTGCAGGAGGAGGAAAATATTTTAATCATATCTAAAACCACCACACTGATGTCAGCACTCTCAGTGCTTTGCATTTGTGGTTATTCTCCTCTTAAAAGCTGCAACAACCACATAAATTCAGCATAACCCATCCTGTGCCATCCTTTATAAAAGTGCAGAACTATGCAGGTAATAATTGAAAACAATTCATGAAATGTGACAGTCCACAAATGACCCTTCCTGCTCATCTCATCTGTTTTCTAAATATGCCTAGGAATTCTACACCCATTTTTTTTCTGCTGCCAATAAAGCAAAAAAGAGGGTAAAAGAAAAATCTACTTTTCCCTCACGTGTTCCCAGCACTAATTGGATACATTTTACAGTCTCACAGGTGGTGCTGAAATTAAACATGAGCACTTTGAAGAGCCTGCTTTGACTGCTGATGCTTGTGGTTGGCAGATTGTGTGTAACATTTCATCTCTGCTCTCCATTTTCAGGGTGAAACTCTGGCAGCTGGGCCAAATCTTCAGCTGGTAAATGAACCACAGAGTCACAGAGGCAAAACTGCCCTGAAATATTTGTTGATTGCTAATTGTTGATTGCTAATTCTTACAATGAGAGCGGGACTGTGCAGCAAAGCCTGGCGTGCAGAAACCCACTAGGTAAAACGCCCAACACCACTCTGAATGGGGGAAAATAAAGGGCAAGGACAAGCCATCTAACCTGCAATTCCTGTGTTTCAGAGCTGACAAACACACAGTCCTGCCCAGCTTTATTGTGTGAACAGCTCTTACCTTGGTGAATAAAGTCAAGGTTGGTTTATCCGTGCTGGCTGAGCAGAGTTGTCTCCCCAGTGGGCTGGGTGAATGCCTGGCTCGTGGCAGGGCTCTGCTCAGGAAACAGAGCACCATCATCCTGTTTCAGGCAGTAAAAAAAAAAAACAAAAAACCCCTCTGAGTTGTTCCAAGTTATAGCTCATGAAATTTAATGTCAGGATAAACGCGACGCTTCCATGGCGGCTCTAAATCACACACAGCCAAAACATTCAACCCAGGGTTTTTATCCTCACACTATCAACACATTCATCAGGGAGGTGGGTTTACTATGTGGCAGGCCAGAAACGTTGTGCAGCTCAAAAAGCAGCAGTTCCATTAAAAAAAAAAGAAGAAAAGAACAACAAAACACCTACGTTTCCTTGTTGAAATGCCTCTTTTAAATTCCCCAACACAAATGCTGACATAAATGCACTATGCTGTTCCAGCTCCACAGATGCCAGCTGGAATTACATATTTAAAAATGCAAAGTGCTGTGCTTTGAACCTCTGTAATCTTGCTGCAGCGTTTGACATAGTCTACTTACCCGAATTATTCCATCAAAAAAACTAATCTGTGCCTAATCAGAATATTAATACAATGCGTTCTGCAGTGAGTAAAAAAAGCTGTAGCCAAGATGATTTAACTTGGTAATATTAAAAGCATTCATACTGCCCCAAGTCCTTCCTGCAATAGCAAATTAATTGATGGGTTTGTAATTCCTTTGAGAAAATCTGAGTAAGTTAAGTGTTATTGAAGGGCGCCACGCTGGAGTCTTGAAGTCACCTGTTCATAATGTCATTGATAAAAACACTGCTTCCTCCAAAATTTTGCCTTAATGTGACCTCTACAAGACTGAGGGACAAAGAAGGAAGCCAAAGGGAGTCTGCATGGTCATTATCAGCAGCCATGACACCTGATGTCAGAATTTACACTGGGAAAACCAAACTGAATCCCTTTTACCCAAAGCCAAACTGCTTCTGCTCAGTTTCAGGCCTGACTTACTTGTAGCTTCTATTATCTAAAGCTAAACACACAACGTGATGTCACAATTTGAAGCAGCTAAAGAGTGAGGAGGATCTCACTGCAGCTTCTGGGCACAGTTTGGGATGTTTAATCAAACAGAACCCAGTGCTCTTCTGCTTCACTGGATCTCTCAGTACCGACATCACGAAGCTTTTTTCTAAGAGGAAAGGTTATGCAGAATAACCACTAAGGAAGAGCACTGCAGTGGACTCTAAACTTTAAATGCTCTATTTCTAAGCCACAACCACAAGAAAAAAATCAAATGGGTGACAGGGCACTGCTCCACCAATCTTGCTGCACAGCCAAAAGACAGCAGCTATTAGTAAGAGTCAGCTGCAAGGGGCAGAGCAGTAAAATTCCTGTCACTGAGCAGTGACTGGCACAGCACACTCTGCCAAAGGTCACAGTCCTTGGCAGCTACTGCACTTGTTTCACTTAGCAAGGTGGAAACAGAACTGCCTGGGATTTTGAATGTTACATGTGCGGGCAAGCTTGGAACCTTTTGGAAAAAGGCAGATCTGGAGGGCAGGAAGAGCCTCAGTCGGACGTGGAAAATTTTTAAACCCACAGCAAATGGAAGACCACAACGGATGCAGTTTTGGCATGAAGTGTTCACAGCATGTTGGCCTGTTCACATGCAAGATAAAAAATGGAGGCAAAAAAAAAGGGTCTGCTTGCTGACAAGTTTTTTAAGAACACTTTTGTTCCCAGCCTAGCAAGCCTTCCAAATGAGGAAGATGCTCTCACATTGTTTTTTTTTTTTTTTGGATAGTAGAATGAAAAAAGCACAGATTTCCATAGATCACATCTTCCCTTCCACACATATATGTGCATAAAGCAGCTCCAGTTCAGTCCAGAGTTCCCCTCCTGATCCCTCCATACTCTGCTGTCCTGAGAACAACAACTACCAAACCATCAGCTGAAGAGGAATGAATAAAACAGTTTCAGTACCTAAAATTTGAGGCCCCACAAAGAAAAAAAAAAAAATCAGCCAGTAGTGCCTTAACTTCTTCATCAATTTTATGTAATTACAAGAAATTCTACCTTCAGAATCTAGCAGCAAATCTTCACTGACCAGAAGAATCTGCTGTTTCCAGGGCTAACAGGAGTCTGACTGGCTGTTTTTACAAATAACCTGAAAAAACCAGAGTCCTGCCAAAGACACTAAAACGCACAAAACTTCCCATATCATTATTCTGGATTTCTCTCTAGACTACCCCCAATTATAAAGATTTGCTTGAGGGAAAAAATGAACACATAAATACAAAGAAGGATGCTTGCAAACTTGCGAATTTACCCTCCCCTAAACCACAATGCTACAAATTTAACAAATTATTCTTTTGAGTCTGGGCTTGGCCCATGCTCTATTTTGCAAAGCCAAGTTGGACTCAATTCCCATTAACAGAATTTGCATCACCCAATAAATCCTCATCTGCAGGAAAACTAAGTTGTGACACTAAAACCATCCATTATTTAGATGAGGTAAGCATCTGTATAAACTTAATCTCAGCATCAATCAAGGAAAGGCAAGCATGGATTTATTTTCCTTGAAGTATTTACCTTTTAAGTAACAGCTGAAAGAGAATGGTGGGGATAAAGTAGGTGCAAGTATCAGGATGCATGCTGATGGCAATTTAAACACCTATCTCCTGCTGTCCCTCATTCAAAACCAGCTATGGCCATCAAGGAAACTAAATTTTCTGGCAGTCTGCATTTGATTACCTACCAACGAGATGCTGAAGAGGAAAACAGGTGAGACAGACCAGGGAGCCCAGGTGAGTGGAGACAGCAAACCCTGCAGCTGTGGAGATCCCCACGCAGCTTTTACCCCACCAGACATTCAGAGGAGGCCTGCAAAACACAAGAAAATCTTTTCTGCACGTGCTCATGACTCTAGGAGTCCCTCAGGGAGAATCAGGTTCTTGCAGCAGCTCGAAATTCAAAGATACCATCAGCAATACCAGCCTGTGTCTGTGGGGTGATGTTATGCATCAACCAGTGCATGTTTCCATGCATTTTCTCCTACAGTAACCCGGGGGAAATGCCACAGAAATACACTGCATTCCATCACAGAAAAGATGGAAGTGTCACATTTGTCAACACATTTTGCTCAGTAACCCCTCCAGATTAGAGGGATGAGGCCATGGGAGTGCATCCTAGAACCTGGTCCAGGGCCACACTTCAAATCCCAGATAATTTAAACTGCACCCAACAGGTTGCTGTAATGGCCTGTTCTGAATACTGTGCAGAACTTGCACAGAAAACCACACTACTACCATAATGTAAAGTTTCTAATGGAGCTTAAAAGTTAACAGTAAAAATAGCATAATAGAGGATAAGATATGCATCATATACATTATAGAACACAGCATACAATATTTTATATATAAACATGTATCTCATGAAATTATATTAATATCTTACATCCTACACAGCCTATAATGTTATCATATTACCAAACATAGCAATAACATTAAAATATAGGACATTGTTGATATAATACATATTAATATTTATGTAGGTCATATTAAGGTAATATTAATATGTCATTAATGCACAATTAATATTGCTTTGGTGTATTGTATGAATAATTATATTAATGCTACTGTATATTACATATAATATGTATATAATGATACTGTGTATTAATTATATATATAATGATATTGTATATTATATTGATACATATCAATATATTGATATGTATATATTTTATTATATACATATTGATATGTATATATTTTATTTATATGTACAGCTTGTATGTTTTAAGTATACACATATATACACATATATAATATAAATATATATATTATATATATTTAAGTATACACATATATACACATATATATACCTATACATATGTATATATTCATACAAATATACAAATATTTTCATGAGTATATATATGTATACAGATTTATATATATGTATACAGATTTATGTTAATGTATGTGTATATACAAATATACACATATATTAACATAAAAATATGAAATATATTATCATGTTTACATATAAGATACACATTTGTGTGCCTATATATATATAACAATACATAGATATATGATACATATTTTTGTGTGTGTATATGTGAAAAATAAATCAGAAAATATATTATAGATATAAACAAGTATAAAAATTATAAAATAAATTATACTTTATATATAGGTATATATATGTGTGTGTATATATATGTATATGCATATGTATATTTATGTATGTATATATACAATCTGGCAGGGCTTGGGCGGTTTTGCTCTGAAGTTTCCAGATAGAAATGTTTAAAACTCTTTATTATGTTATATATCTATAATGTATATAATGCCTACATACACATGCATATATATATATATATATACACATATATATGTATGTGTATATATATGTGTATATATATACATATATCTACATATACATAGATACATATATGTATATAGACATATATACACATATATATACACACACATATACATAAATATATGTATATATACACATATATATGTACATATATCTACATATACATAGATACATATTTGTATATATATACACATATATATACATATATACATTTGCATACATACATATATGTATATATACATATACATAAATATATGTATATATGTGTATATATATAAAATATATAAAAATATATAAATATAAGTATATATATTTATATAAATATATGTAGATATAAATATATGTAGATATACATATAAATATATGTATATATACACACATATATATACACATATTTACATATACATATTTATATATGCACAAATATACATACATATATATCTCTGTGTGTGTATATATAATCTGCATATGTATATGTATATGTAGGTATTATATTCATTATGTATATGTAGGCATTATATTCATTATAGACATATAACATAATAAGACTTTTAAACATTTCCATTTGGAAACTTCTGAGCGAGTCCCCCCGCGCCCCGCCGGCGAGCCCAACGGGGTACCGTGTATCCAGAGCCCTCCTCCCTCTCTGCCCCGCAAGGAGCCGGCCCGCCAGGTGATGCCGATACCCGCAAACCTGTGCCCGGACCCTCCGCGGCGACACGGAGCCGGAGCACCGCATCCCGGGGCACCCGCATCCCGGGGCACCCGCATCTCGGGTCACCGCATCCCGGGGGAGCCGCATCCCGGGGGAGCCGCATCCCGGGGGAGCCGCATCCCGGGGCACCGCATCCCGGGGCACCGCATCCCGGGGCACCCGCATCCCGAGGGAACAAGGCCCGAGAAGCCAAGGCCCGAGAAGCCAAGGCCCGAGAAGCCAAGGCGGCCCCGCACGCACCTGCGGGAGCTCGGCCGGGCCGCGGGCGGGGCGGCAGCGCCGGCTGTGACGCGGCCGCGCCACGGGAAGGAAGCGGCTCCGGCCCGGGAAGCGCTCCCGGGGCACAAAGGGAGCGGCCGAGGAGGCCCGCAAGAGAAAGTAAAATGCGAATAAGTGATAGGAATGGGGGGATAGGAGGGTGGAAAAGGGCAAAGCGCTTGGTTTTAGGATTTTAGAAGTTTAATAGTGATATGATGGTTATAAAAATAGTAATATGTTTAGAGTAATTAAAATTTGGATAATTAGGATTTAGAACAATACGAGACAAAAAGCCCAAAGAGTTACGGACGTCCGGGTACCTCTTTCGGGGCAACATAAACCCGAAAAAGGACCCACGTTAACAGAGGATTAACCCTTAAAAGCAACAGCCTGTTGCATATTCATACACCTCATACGTGATGCATAAATTCCATTCAAACACAGGATTCTGTCTGGGCAGTGTCAACTTCTTCCTCTTATTCCTGACGGCGTCTTCAGAGCTCAGCGAGGCGAGAAGAACTCGCTAAGAGAGCAATAAATTCTCTTTTTCTGAAAGATTTAGGTGTCCTGCTAGCTCGGTGTGAGTCCTTTCTTTTTTTAAAAAAAGGTTTCTTACATAACATAGTTTCTATTTTAACCTTATGTTATAACCTAAAACTATGTTTAACACACTACTTAAGAAAATTAACACAGCATAACTTTCTAACATAACACACATAATATTCATTTTAATATTTGTGAAAAATCCAATCATAAAATACTGGTTTTTCGCAACAGTAATGCAAAAGCAATAATAGCAATGCAATAGAAATAATAGTAATGTAATAGTAATAATAGAAACACAGGTAAAGAGCTGGGCCTGTTCAGTCTAGAGGTGACTGAGATGGGATCTCATTAGTGCATATAAATATCTCCAAGGCAGGTGCTAGGAGGATGCCCTTGATGCTCCATTTGAGGTGTTTCAGTCATCAGGTGTGTTCATTTTCCTTTCTCCAAAAAAGTTTTAAGTAAAAAATAGCAAGTGTCCACTGCTGGGCAGCTAAAGCTGCAGGCTCATGTTTACATACTGTAAATACATAGTGTACTTCTGTCAGGAGTTTGGTTTTGCCATAGTAGCTTGTTGGGAAGGATGAAAGTTTGACAAGAAAGTCTCACAGATATGTATGCATGGCAGAAAGATTTTTAAATGTAGAGTCTGATGAAGGAATAGAGATGGAAGCAAGTTTTGATATGGAAGAAAAGAATTGCTGAGCCAGTCTGACTGCATAACCAAGGAGGCAAAGGGTGTGTTAGTTAGAAGGGGTTTTTATGGCTTATAGCAAAGGATAAACCCACCTCAAACCAGAAGATGTTTTTACCAAGCAGAAAGAGAGCACAGGCAAACAAGCAGGCAAAGCTGCAAGTAGAAAAAAGGTCTCAGAATTTTCCACTGCAAGAAAACAGAAAAACAACTTCTAGCTTAAACTGTAATGTACTGACTTTTAGTGATTGGAGAACAGTAACATGAATATGGCAATTATAGTAGTTATGATAGGCTATAGATAAAAGTTAAGGTATAGATTGGTTCTACTGTATTAAGATGCTCAGCAAAGAAGAGCATATAATGCATTGTAACCAAACCAAAGGGTGTCCAGGCCTGCCTGCAGCTGGAGCTGACAGCTGTGGGCACAGCTCTGTCACCCACCACCCTGGACTGCTGTAACATCTTGGATGGAATAAACTGCATTTTGGAGAGCCCCATGGAGTCCCACATCCCTCATTTAGGCTCTCACAGTAGCTAGCAGTCCCTAGGCCTAGAGTAGGAGACAAATCTTTAGGGTAGAGGCTCAAGTCAGCTTCTCCTCTTCATCTGTGCTTTGAGAAGCACAACAGCACTCAGGGGAAAGGCTCTCCAGGGGTGTAATCCTACCCTGCTGGTGTGACACGTGTAATTAACCAGCATTTAAATTAACACGAGGGAGAGTCAGCTCGGGATCTTGGTGACTCCTTTTCAGACGCTCTCTTAATCCCTGCTGCTGAACAGAGATGGAATGCTGGCAAGCTGACACTGGCTGCTCTTTTATTTTGTTATTGGTTTTTGGTTTTTGGTGGGGTTTTTTTGGTGTTTTTTTGTTTGTTTTGTTTTGGTTTGGTTTGGTTTGGTTTTGGTTTGGTTTGGTTTGGATTTTTTTTGTTTTGTTTTGTTTTTTTGTTTCCCAGCATCATAAAATCCAGTGTCAGGCTTTGGTGTTTGGCACTGCTACAGGACAGACCTGACAAGCCTCACACAAGGGAAATGCTGAGCTGGCTCTCACCTGGATTTTACTTTCTCAGAAAGGGTGGGAGGACATGCAGACAGAGGGCAGAGGCAGGTTGGAAAGCAGGTTTAAATACAGAGACCAGCATGCTCTTGACATCTCAGGTCTCAGATTAATTTTATCCCTCTTGCTCCCAAAGCAAGTCTATCCTTCTGTGGGACATGTGTCTAAAATTCCCAGAGGAACCTGGAGGACAGAGCTCCCAAAACGGGTCAGTTTATTTAAACAAAATTGCTGCTGAAGGCAAGAAGTGATCTGGCTGTGTTCCTTTCCTAGTTTCAGCAGGATTGTCATTCTGTTGCCTAACACAGGTCAATTAACCAAACCACTGACTGGTTCTGCCAAATCAGAATTTTCTTACGCTGCCAGATGTGTTTATTGTTGTGCATTCAGGTATATAGACTGGTTTCACCCTCAGATCAGATTGTTTATAATACAGTAGATAAGTAAGAAAAAAAAAAAGGTTGAAAAAAGATGGAAAAAAGAATTTTATTTGTTTTTAAAAGGTTTTTTTAGGCTACAAACATCTGCTTTGCAATTAACCAGTTTTGCTTTGGCAGGTTTTTTTTACACCACTGTAGATATCTCAGCACAAAATTAGCTTTGGTTTTAATCCAGTATTTATGAGATGAATCTTCTTAATCTTCATAGTGATAGATGCAGAAAGAATTATTACTTAGAGCATGTCTCACTAACACTGTGCTTAGGAATGAGATGGATTGCTGTAAAGTTTGGTATTTAAAAATGTGTTCTGACATCTGAAAGAAGTGCAACTCCACTCCATTTTTCATTATGGCACAAAGGACATCTTTAAATTTCAAGGGCAGTTAGGACTCAATGGTTAAGTTTGCTGCATAGGTACCATGCTATGATGCACAAGTCTTCCTTTTTATTTTTTCTTTATATCTCTTAAATAAAGTGTGGACATGGTTTCACAATCCGAACTAAAAAGAACTCCTGCTCTGATGGGTTGCATTCAGTTTGGTTCTCCTCCAGATTTCTATTCTATTTCTCTATGTTATTTTGAGTTAGAATCACAGAATCATAGGATGGTTTGGGTTGGAAGGGAACTTAAATCCCATCCAGTGCCACCCCAGCCATGGCAGGGACACCTCGCAGTGTCCCAATGTCCAGCCTGGCCTTGGGCAGTGCCAGGGATGCAGGGGCAGCCCCAGCTGCTCTGGGCACCCTGTGCCAGGGCCTGCCCACCCTGCCAGGGAAACATTTGTTCCTAATAACTGGGCTAAATGTACCCTTTTTCACCCTAAAGCCATTCCACACCTCAAATCCTGGGGTCAGCTTTGAGCACCTCACTCCAAGGAGGACCTTGAGGGGCCGGAGCGTGGCCAGGGCAGGGAACGGAGCTGGGAAGGGAATGGAGCCCCAGGAGAGGCTGAGGGAGCTGGGCAGGGGCTCAGCCTGGAGCAAAGGAGGCTCAGGGGGCCCTTGTGGCTCTGCACGGCTCCTGCCAGGAGGGCACAGCCAGGGGGTGCCACCGTGACATTTTCTGAAAAATCCCCTCACCAGGATTTTTTCTCCTGAGAAGCTGGGAGGCTTCAGCTTCTCCCTGTTTGGCTGCTCTGGAATGTGATTTGGAGAATTGTTTACCCAGCATGTGAATTGTTTTTAATTAATGGCAAATCACAGCCAACTGTGTCAGACTCTGAATCTGTCACAGGTTTTTATTATTCATTCTTTTCTAGCTTTCTGATGTCTCTCCTTTAGTGTAGGTTTAGTATACAATTTTCTTTTAACGTAATATAATATCATTATATAATAAATCAGCCTTCTGAGAACTTGGAGTCAATTCTCATCTCTCACCTCATCCTGGGGACCCTCACAACACCACAACGGGGGGGTCGGGCTGTGCTCCAGGGAACAGGGACAGGAGCAGAGGGAACGGCCTCAGGCTGGGCCAGGGCAAGCTCAGGATATGAAGTTTAAAAAAAACATCTTCACTGAAAGGATTATCAAGCATTGGAAGAGGCTGCCTGGGGGAAGGAATCATTTTGTGAAAAGCGAAATTCTTAATGCTCAAATAACTTGAGCACGGAAAAGGTGACAAATCAAAAAAAAATAATCACAGCATCACATATTCAGTAACTTCAATAAGGAGCAGAGGAACACCAGAAAAACGTATTAGAGAATTTGATTCTAATATGAGAGAATTTTTTTTTTTGCTGTAAAAGAACAGCTTTTAGAGATCTTAGCCTGAGGAAAAGGACCTTGAGGAATATGCTTAAAAAAAACCCATAATGTGTTCCTTAAATGATGAATGCCAGTGGAGAAGCATTTTCATTTGCCTAAATGACCTGCAGAAGGCAGGGGACTGCCTGCCCATGAACTTTTCACTGTCTGGTAGCCCAAGGATCATCTGAGCACTAAACATTACTAAATAAATAGCAAATAAACTAAACACTAAATTACTAAGTTACTAAATTTATATATAATAAATTTATAAATTACTAAATAAATACTAAATAAACTAAACACATTAATTGACACACTGTGTAGCAGCAATTTGAGCAGCATTTTGAGTTTATTTTTGTATCTCATGTTCTCTATTGGACCATTGCCATGGTGACACATGGTAACCAAAAATTAATTTATTGAGCACCAAGAGAGCAGTGAGTTCCAGGCTCAAGCAGAGCCTATTGGAAATCAATGCTGTTCTTTCTCTTCCTTTTAAAAAGCCTTAGGTCAGGCCATTCTTTTGC